GCTTTTCACTGCCAGACTGAGGTTGGGAAGCAGAGTTAATCCACTTATAGGATGCACTGGTTGGTATTTTGACTGTATTGTGACTATTGAAAAGATGGACAGTTCACACCTTGGGAGCAAGTTGTGTTCTAAAAGTTTATTTGCAAATATACTGGGACACTCTCTTGAAAAATTTTCCCAAGGAAGCTATTCTACACAGTGGCAAAATCGCTAATTAATAATATAGGTAAACTATGACATTTATAGTAGCAAAAAACTAAATTCTATGAAATTACATTAAATGAAATTTGCTGCTGAGCAAATGAAAGCAAATTCTATTGGCTCACTTGGGCCGTCTGGTACTCACCTGCCCTCCAGGTGTACTTTAGGCCTGTGGAGGGTGGCATCTAGTGGTGACCCTTGCACCAGGGTTTTCTAACAGATGACCCGATGACCCTGTGAATCATAATTCAGACCTGCATATATTTTAGAGCCAGTCACATTTGCCCTCTCACCCTATATAGCCATAAACTGCCTAAGCACTCAGGCCTCCTACTCATCAACCCCTTTGACCAGAGAAAGAAGCACTCTGGCTCTCTATCCCCTTGTCACACAGAGAGTTTGTCATGGAGCCTCTGCCTGGGCCCTTCACATAACAGAATCACTGCCATCTGCCTGCACCAAACCCAGGTATGTGGGAGATGTCTCCCCACACCTCCCACTGCCCACCAGGACAAGCTGCCCTTCCTGTCTCCACCTCTCGGTCCCCCTAAAATGGATGGCCGGGGAGACGTGGAGGCTGACAGCTGAGATGTGGTGTTAGATGTGATCTAGGAGGGAGGATCACCGGGATCCGGGACCACACAAGTAACGTGGTTTCCATGGCAACTGCTTGCTCCTTTGAATTAAGACTGCAGTCAGTTGTCATTGCCATGACAAGGCCTCTATCTCCAGGCACAGTGTCCCTGATGTCTCCTAATCCGATGGACTGGCTCTCACTCCAGGCATGAAACGCCCAGAAACTCACTCTCAGTCACTTCCACAGCCGATGACTCAGAAGAAGCAAACCCAGAATGGGGCTTCTCTTTTCCCCGCCACAGCCGCCCCTGACAACCTTTCCTGGCATACCTAGAGGACTGCCAGGGCGGGATAGGCCCGGAAGTTTGTGTTAAATAAACAGGTGCATGAAAGGAGCCAACAAGGCGAGTGTTGGTGTCCACTGTCTTCTTTCCACTTCCTTCGCATCTTTCTCCGTGTTTTATGCTTCTCTGATTCCCTCTTCTGCCTGTACCAGGCCAGCCCCAGCCCTTTATTCTTCTCCATTGTCACTCCTTCCAGCCTCTGTCCCTGAACTGCCACTGGCAACCCACGGGACCTCAGGACCAGAGACTGCTTGATTCACCTGGGGAGGTAAGTTCATGGGGGACAAAAAAGGGATTCCTAAAGAAGAGGCTTCCTAGACCGTCACAGGCTCAAGAAAAGGATCCCCTAGGCCTGGACTTCTGAGCACCTTCCGCCAGGCTCCAGCCAACAGCCAGAGCAGGTCTTTCCCCATCACTCAATGGGTTCCACGTTTTTGTTTCTTGGGAGAAGCAGGGAGGGAGAAAGGTAGAAAAAGGCAGTCGCCTTTCCAAGAAGAATGTAACTGGTCCAAGCTGTGTAGTATTTGTCAGTATTTTCTTCTGTAAAGTTCAAGCACACACACAAGAAAAACTTATTTAAATAAAATACTTTGGAAATGAAAATCTTGCTGGAGTCAGACAGTTACTTTCTTCACATTAGGTATTACCCCTGCTCAGACATCACTCAGACATGACAGATACATGGACTCTTTCTGTGACACATATGTCCCAGCCCTCGTCAGTCACTGCCTTTGCCACGATAGAGTCGTATGTCTGAGGACCAAGAATGTGGCTGTCTCACCCCTGTTTGCAAAACAGATGGCCTCAGAGACCAGACTCCCTCAGAGGTGCCAGCTACAGGAAAAATACACTGATGTTCCTTAGCAACACTTAGAGAACTTGCCGTCAATGAGGTCCATCAATGTCTTCTTAAAGGAGAAGGGGAGAAATAGCAAAAACCTAAGGAAAAATGGACCTTCGTATTAAATTCAGTGTTGGGAAGGGAGGGACCAAAAACCTCTAGAGTAGCCACTAGAGCTAAAAATGTATGTAAATGTGTGCGTATACACTGTTCAATATGGATCAATACGGTACCATTAGCCACACGTGACTATTTAAATTCATTGGAATGAAATAAAATTAAAGGTGCACTAGCTCAGCTATGTCTGCCATATTTCTTTTTTTTTTTTTTCTTTTCTTTTTTTTTTTTTTTTTTTTGAGACCGAGTCTTGCTCTGTCACCCAGGCTGGAGTACAGTGATATGATCTTGGCTCACTGCAACCTCCACTTCCCAAGTTCAAGCAGTTATCATGCCTCAGCCACCCGAGTAGCTGGGATGACAGGCATGCACCACCACCCCCAGCTAATTATTTTTGTATTTTAGTAGAGACGGAGTTTCACCATACTGGCCAGGCTGGTTGAACTCCTGGCCTCAAGTGATCCGCCTGCCTCAGCCTCCCAAAGTGCTGGGATTATAGGCATGGGCAACTGCGCCTGGCCCTGCCAACTGCATTTCAAGTGCTCAGTAGACACACGTGGCTAGCAGCCACCATCCTGGGCAGCATAGGTCCGTGAGCTTCTTGGGGACAGGGTCAAACACGTGGGCAAAACACCCATGCTGACTGAATTTCAAGGAGGGCTTAGGAAGAAAGGCCTAGAGCACAGGTGGACTCTCTGCCTTATCTCCTCCAAGGCAGGCTATGTCTGTAGTTCCAGATGAGTTCATTCCTGGCCTCCTTTCCCCATCACCATACACTCATGACAACCAAGGAACAGACACTCTTCATTCAGCTCCCTGTTCATTCATCCAGGACATGGCTAAAGTTTCCAGTGCAGAGGAGGAACTGCTGCTCAGAAACCATCTGGGAGGGGAGCAGCTGCTGCACACCTGACGGTATGCCAGTGCTCAGTGCCCTCAGCCGCACCCACCCCAGCTCCATCCCGGCCTGGGGGTATAATATGAATTTGGACAATGCCATCTCCCTGTTAGCATTCTCAACTCACCACAGCACTCTGCGCTGGCCCCTTGCCCTTTGACCTTAGTACTATTCCCCAATTCAAAGTCATAGGATTACAAGACTGAAAAAAAAATTCCCTTCGACTGGCTTTCTGTCTGCCATAGACTCAAAGGGATGTTTTCAAACACGTGTGTGGGCAATGCCATGCTATATTTATTCAGGAATGACTGTGATTGCGTACCTCCAGCCCTCTCTTGAGGCTGTTTATTCCATTAACATTTCTGACTGTTGACTATATGTCACACACCTTAGGTGCCAGTGATACTAAGTTGTTCTGGAGGGGTTCAGAGCCTGGTGGGGGGCGGGGCACAAACAAGCAAACAGACTGTTACAAGACAGTGTGGCCACTGCTTCCTTAGAGGGAGGCAGGCCAGGGGAGATCACCCAGGAGCTGTCCAGAGACTTGCACAGGAAGAAACAGAAAGGAGGGCCCCATGTGTAGTCTACAAAGTGTAAGTGCGCTTCGCAGTAGTGATGCAGGCAGACAGACTGACGGGGACCATTTGGAAATCATCAGGGCTCTTGGAGGCCACGATGCTGTGGGCTAGGACTCAGGACTAGGGTTGTCCCAACCCTGATGCTAACTCCAACTCTCACTAGTTACGACATATGGACCCATGGCTTAATCTCTTTGCAAGACTTACCTGGTAAATAAAGCTAATGAGAGTAGCTACCTCATAGGGAGCACTAAACCGTCATGTGTATAAAGCATCTAGCACAGAACCTGGCTTACATGAAGTGCCCAATAAATGTTATTTATTATTAAGGGTTGAAGAGAAATTATGAGAGAGCTGTGTCCTAGGAGTCAAAGGAAAAGAAATTTCCAAGAAGAAAGCAACAGTCCATAAAGTCAAATGATCCAGGCAAGTCGAATGAGATGGGGACTGAAAGGAATTGCATCTTCTATTCCCCATGGTTCCCTTAATTTCACCATGTACTGCACTATCTACAGGATTACCAATGCTCCATGAATTAAGGTCTCCGGATTCGCAGTACATGACAGGCAAGGTTGTCTAATTATCTGTCCCGCCTCTGCCCACAACCGAGTCGCCCTAGCATGACAGTGCCACCTGGTGGCCAGATCAGGAGAGAGCGTGAGTCAACATCGTTTTCACCTTAGAGGTGTTTCCTGTAGAACGCCCAACCAGCTAGTTCACCTGTTCTCGAATTTACAAGAGTCTCTGGGTTTTATGTGAAATTCACAAATCTGTCAGGGTCCAGAATGCTGTGCTCATTTGACATACGGGGGTTTTTCACAAATCCTAAGCCTCAATTGTCACGAACATATTTTGGTGAAGTGTTCCATATGCAGCCACTCCCTGCAGTAAAGCTTCCCTAACCGCAAAAGTTCTCCCCCATTGCAGTCAGACCAGACCACATTGTAATTGTGTGTTCCTTCTATTCCCAACACCCCACCCCTATTTTGACCCCCATTAGAATTAGCCTTTATGAAATTAAAACTGTCTTATTCACTACTGTATCTTCAACACCTAGCATGGAGCCTGGCACATACTATATGCTAAATAAATGTGTCAATTGGGGGAAAAATAATCACTGAGGTGTTTCTTGAAAATGCGAATTCCCTGTCTCCCCCTGCCCTTCTGGCTGATTATTAAGTCTAGTGTGATGCCAGACAACCTGCTTTAATAAGCACTAGGTAAATGCAGGTGGTCTCTGAACCACACCGTGAGAAATACTATCTGTATATTCAGAACAACAAAAGAATTGTGTACAGTCAAATAAGTTTGCGGACACTGCACAGTAAAACTTTCCCACTTCACCCCCCTTGGGATGTGCAATCACATTACACATTAAAGTTTCTAACAAGTACGATAATAAAGAAGTTGGTTTAACTCCACTTAAAATTTTCCCAAATTTATTTAACCATAAACCTCGTTTTCTTTCAGCACATCTGGAGGAACAAAGATCCCAAAGGGGCACCATTTGGGAAATACTGCCATGGAGGGCTAGTACGCACCCCACGCGTCCTCTGCTCCCGACTCCCACGGAGGGATAGTGCGCACCCCAAGCGTCCTCTGCTCCCGACTCCCACGGAGGGCTAGTGCGCACCCCACGCGTCCTCTGCTCCCGACTCCCACGGAGGGTTAGTGCGCACCCCACGCGTCCTCTGCTCCCGACTCCCACGGAGGGTTAGTGCGCACCCCACGCGTCCTCTGCTCCCGACTCCCACGGAGGGCTAGTGCGCAGCCCACGCGTCCTCTGCTCCCGACTCCCACGGAGGGCTAGTGCGCAGCCCACGCGTCCTCTGCTCCCGACTCCCACGGCGGGCTAGTGCGCCTTCCATGTGTCTTCTACTCCTGTTCCACTACTGACAGTTCAGTCAATGTCATCTCCAAAGGAAACTTTCTGCAATGTACACAGATTCTCACTAACCTTTATGAACCTTTCTCTTTTACTCCTCCCTTTCTCTTTCTCCCATTTGCGACCCATAATAATCCTTTTGCTGGCTATTCATAGCAAATGTGCTTTAGAGCTACTAGAGAGACATCTCTATCAAAAGGAAAAAGATTTTCCTTTCTATCAAAAGGAAAAATTTTAAGTCAAAAAATGAAGACCGATCCAAGCCCACTATTTTACCATTCCAGAGTGCCTTCATACATAAAAGCCACTTTCATTATTTCACTTGATTCTCACTTTATAAAGGAAGAAAATGAGGCCCAGAGAAGGTAAGCCAGCTTACCCCAAACTGGAATGGAAACCCAAGGCTTCAGACTCCTACCCAGTGTTTCTTCTGCCAACCAGGCATCGACATCCAGGCCAATCTGATCTTGGCTCCTCAAAGACCGTTGAACTTGTAGCAGCACCTCCCTTGAGTTGGAAATTATTGAACACAATCAAGGGTCTGCCCATAAGCCTTTAAAGTGCCCAAATGTCTCCTTCAGATGTCCTGCAGCAAGCCTCATCCGCCTCCTTTTCCTTCTCTAATTAAACCTAATTTTATTCACTCATCAAAATAAAGAATCTTTTCTATTCCATCTGGTTTCCTTCTTTTATTTAAATTATGGTACTGCAATACTATTGTTTTCTATTTTTCATTATACATACACTGCAACTCATCTATATTATAAACAGGATTTATGGGCTAGCCTGACAACCTAACTTCTTTCTATAACATTAGAATTGGAACTCAAATCATTTTACCCACAGAAACAGGCAACTGACAGAAAGAATTGGAGAAGTAAATTCATTCGCAAATCAGGAGCTGTCTGAAATCCCTCCCAGGGGTGCCTCTCCTTCACCTTTCATCAGCCTGACAACCTCCATCCGCCTTTCCTCCCCAGCAGCCCAGTACGCCAGGTCTGGGGATGCAGTCCAGTCTCACCAGGCAATCGCAAGGTTATTCCCAGTTATTTTTTTTTTTTGCACATTAGTCCAGCAAGAACGCTGCCTAAGAAACCACCAAGTGCAGGCTCAATGCTAAGCTGGACCTCACCGACTGACTCTCCGTACAGTATCACCCAAGAAAGAAGTGGGGACCCAGCCCGCAGAACTCCCCTTTATGGAAAAGTGGCACTGAAATGAGAGGCTCCCAACAGGACAACACTGCCATCTCCTGGCCATGCTGAATATAGCCAGCTTTTTGCACTAAGCTGCGGTCCCAACCGTATTCCCGTCTTGACATGAACTCCCTCCTGGTCCCCTCCACCACCCTAGCAAAGTGCTTAAGGTAATGACTTGGAAATAAAATTTTTTAAGATGGAGTCTCACCCTTGTTGACGAGGCTGGAGTGCAATGGCGCAATCTCGGCTCATTGCAACCTCTGCCTCCTGGATTCAAGCGATTCTCCTGACAGCCTCCCGAGTAGCTGGCATTAGCAAAGGGCGTTTTCCATCAACTGGCTAAATTTGACCTGAGTTTCTCTCCGGTATACTTGCTTTTCTTTTGCCACGCCATCCCTTCATCGGCATGTCCCCTGTCCACAGCTCTTCACACACCACACCTGGCCCTTACCCTTCCTTGATCACAACTTCTGGGGGCATTTTCTATCTTTCTCCCCGGCTCCTTCAGCATTTCCTGGCTTTAATAATCTTTAAATCTCTGAGAATTCAAAGTTTAAATGCAGAGCTTTTGATCTCATTTGACAAACATAAAGTCTGGGACCCTATTCCCAGAGGAAGCCACAGTCAGGAACAAATAGCTCTAAGCTCTGAGAAAGGACCCATCTCTTGCTTGCCCCACCCTTCCTCCTCAAAGCCCACCATTCTTTCTTCCTGGATACCTCGCTAACCTGGGCCCTCCTCCCCTTCTCGACCATTTCTGACACAAGCCAAGGGAGTCATGACCTCTTGCCTGAACTATCACAGTAGCCCTCAACTGGGCTGTGAGTCCCTATCCCGCCTCCCAAACCTCCCTCAACACCCTCGGCGCCATTCTCTATCCTATCACCAGACTGATAATTCCAAAATACAAGTCTGACCTTGTCACTCTTAGGTTTAAAACCTGTGTGCTCCCCATTATCCACGTGCTTTCAACTGAGCAGTGGCTCTCAACCGTGGTCCACGTTGGAATCCTTGGGGGCACTTTAGGAAGCCCTGAGACCCACTGGAGCAGAGCCCATGGAGGGGAGGGGAGGGGAGGGGAGCTTCTGTACCTGTGGAGGCCGCCTGCCGACCCTGACACTAAGAACCACAGTACTAGCCTGGCAAAGGAAGAATCCCCATCCATCTCACCAGCCTGGCTCCCCACCAAGCTCTCCTCCCCCCAGTAAGAAACCGCTTTGACCCCTCAAACATGCCACACTCTACACTTCGTCTTCCTTTCGGCCAAGTCTCCTACACCCGATGGGCCCCACCTCCCCGCAGGCTTCTGGTTTCACCCACGCCCCAGAACTCATCCTTCCAGACCTAAAGCTGGCATCGCATCCCCATGAAGCTCTTCCCTCAGCACCCCGGCAGGATGAGCCACCCCCATTCTGCCCACAGTGTTCGGTCCCCCTCCCTGCAGACTCACTCTGCCAGGTCTGTTTCCACGGCTGTCTCTGCCACACTCCAAGAGCTGCTGGAGGGCCGCGTTTGTGTTCTGCTCATCACCGTCTTGCTCGTGTCCTGCATAAAAGGGAACGCTTCGGAAACTTAACCACAGGCTGCCGAGACTTCCATCTTCGCATCTAGCCTAGTGCCTGGCCTGCAGCCTGCCCCCTCTACGAGAGGTTTTGTTTGCTTTAGTTTGTCCTAAAGGGTAGAAATCGTCCCTGAAAGCTTCAAAACCTTGATGGCTCATGACCTGGTGGTAAGAAAATTGTTCGACTCTCTCTAAAAAGCAGGTCTAACCAGAAACCCATTCCATGGGCCCGTATTTAGCTACCAGATGAGAAGTTGTGAGCACTTAGTCACATTAATATGAGGTTAGGTGTGGAAGTTTCGAGCTGGAATGCTTCCCTCAGTCAAATACCCTTTGAAAATGAGTCTCTTCTAACTTCCTTCCTGGTCCCCAGCAGAACCTCCAAAGGGTCACCCCCTCCTTTGGGCACCATGGGTCCTACAGGCAGAAGAATGTAAAAAATAGCTCCTGTTTCCCAAAAGTCCCCCTCTTGGCCAGTGGTGGAGAAACCCTGGAGTCAATGAACGCGGAGGGCGGGGTATGTTTTGTAATTTGCCACCATCACAGATTCCTCCAGAGCAAAAAGACCGTCAGTGCCCCCTACCCCCACCCATGCCAGAAAAAGAGTGGACTCCACTCCAACAGCAGCCTTTGGCCCAGACCTACTTAACCAGAATGTCTGGGGAAGGGGCCCTGTGATCTCTGTGTCAAGTATGTTCAAAGTTGAGAAGCATTTCCTACCAACCAGCATCCTTGACTCGAAGTCAGTCTCTGGGATTTGATCCATTTTGCAAAGGAGACACTTTTCTGAAAAGCCTGGACCACTGTGATGAGCCCAGAGCTTCGGAATCCCAATGGTGAGTACCCCACATGCAAACAGGGTCACGGAACAGCAGAAGGGAATTCCAGCCAGGTGCAGCGGCAAGCCCCTGTAGTGCCAGCTACTTCCTGAGTCAAGGCTGGAGGATCACTTGAGGCCAGGAGTTCAAGACCAGCCTGGGCAACATAGCTAGAGCCTCATATATAGTTGAGTGTGATGGCACTCACCTGTGGTCCCAGCTACTTGGGAGGCTGAGGCGGGAGGATTGCTTGGATCCAGGAGTTTGAGGTTACAGTGAGCTACGATCCCACCATTGGACTTGCCTTTTTCATTCCCTTTATTCTTCCTCACAACGCTAGAAATTAAAAGGGAGACATTTACACTGTTTTCCTCACACAGCCTGGGTGACAGTGAGACTCTTATTTCCATTAAATAAAACAATAAAAACTACAAACATGTGTCTGAAAGAAGAAAATTTGAGAAGAAGACTTGAAACTGGGGATGTTGTACAGAGAGAACTTTCAAACAGATAAGGAGACCAAGCTGGGTAAGACAGCAAGACTCCATCTCTACAAAAAAAGTTTTAAAAAATGTAGCTGAGTGTAGTAGCACGCGCCTGTAGTCCCAGCTCCTTAGGAGGCTGAGGCAGAAGGATGGCTGGAGCCCAGGAGTCCGAGGCTGCAGTTAGTGTTGGTCACGCCACTACATGCCAGCCTGCATGACAGAGGGAGACCCCGCTTAAAAAAAAAAAAAAAAGCCAGAAAAGGAAATTAGCTCAGGCTCAGATTCCTGGCAAAGCTGGATCCAGACTAGAATACAAATCTGGTCAGTCTCTGTAAACATCTCCCCCTCAGAGAGGCTCACAGTCCAACACCATGCAACATCTTCATCTTCCAATTCTATTTTTTCCTCCATGGCACTTCCCACTTCTTGTAACTACACATTTATTCGTTGTTTAATGTCAGCCTCCACCACAAGAATACTAGCACGAGGACAGGAATAGGATGTTATGTCCCCGATTAACACCGGTGCTTAGAACAGAACTTGGCATGTAATAGGCTCACTCTCCACTTGCTGAATGAGTGAAGGTAAACGAATGAATGAATGACAGCACACAAGGTCCATCAGTACAAGGACAGTGTCTATCTCACTCACCTCTGTTTCCCTGGTGCCCAGAACGCTGCCTGAAACAGAGCAGACAAACGCTTAATAAACTCTTGTTGAATCAATAACATACAAGCAGATTTTTTTCCTCATTAGCATCAACACTAAAACTGTATTTCTTTGAGACCACTCCTTCTCAGAGCCAGCAGTTAGCAAGGCATTGCTCAAGGTGTGTGTCTGGGGAAGGAAGGCCACAGAGGGGGCTGCTGAAGACTTTCAAGGTTGACAGAAATGGTTTCGGGAGTACAGCTTGACATTCACCCAGAGGCTGAAACCCGGAGACACGGAGGCAGTGGACCACACCCTGGCCCTGGAGGGGTGCTGCAGCTTTCAAAGCATTCACCCTCCTTTCCAGGCGCTCACTTCTGCATTAGAAATACTGTTATTTCCCATCATGCAAATAAGAGGCCACAGCCAACCAAATTCCATTACAACGTGCAAATTGTACCCACTTGCACTTAGGTTAAATTTAGAATTCAAGTGCACTTATGTGGAGGAAAATAACACAAAGCAATTTTTTTTAATCAAGTGGTTTATTTTTTTTTTCTTCTTCTTGAATAGGAATTTAAGTTACTTCATTGGTCACTGCCTTTGCTACAGAAAACCCTCCAAAATGGCAGAAAATAAGCAAAAGGGATCTGACCTTGCCAAGTGTCCGATCAACAGTAAGCCTCGCAGTGCTGAGCACTCCCAGAAAACCCAGGGCTCCAACATGCGGGGTGGGGAAAACGGAGTCGGAGGCCTGATGGGCATGAAACGGGGTTGCAGAAGAGTCTTTGGGAGGAACCAATTATCAAGAGAGTCCAATTATTCAAAGTTGAAATGAGTGAGAATTTATTCACAACATATGCAGCTCTATGGACACAATTATGCAAATGATTGAAAAGAGGGCGCTTAAAAATAGCAGTAAGGCGGCAGCTTTGGTCTCTGGCATGCTGGATACTAGTTAGAACTTAGCTAAACGTGAGTCTGTCTTAGCCCCTTTTAGTCCCTTTATTCTTCCCCATAACCCCAGGAATTAAAAGGGGGAGGTTCACAACGTTTTCCTCAAAACCCAGTGGGAAAGGAGGTGTGGCAAAGGTCCGGTCGTCCCAGCCGTAACCTCCGGGTCATTAGAACCCCTCCTCCGCTTCTTTCCAGAGAAAAGATTAGCATTAGCAGAGCTTTCAATAGATAGATGTAAATTTCCAGAGATTTCCAATTGGTGAAGTGCTGGGCGATTCCTTGTCTTGCCCTAGTCCAGTATATCTGCTGCGGAAGACAAACTGAGAACCCTCCCAGTTCCAGCACTCTTTCCCACTCATACTGCGCAGCTACTATTTGGATTTTCAAGGCCCTCATCAAGATGAGCAAACATGCAGGCGAGAGGGAAGGAAGCTCCATGGCTTGAAGCTTGGTGTCATGATTTGTTCTGTGGGTTATTGGGCGATCCCAGAACCCAGAGGCTCTGAGCACTCCCAGCCCGTCACCACTGCGCACCCCACCCCGTGCTCCCACAGCTGGTGGGGTCTCCCGCGAGGAACATTCACACGGGCCATCAGAACGTTCGCAGCCTTCCTCCCAGTGTGCGCTTCTTTCTGCCCAGGACAGGGTCGCTGCTGTAGCCACGAGGGCGGATTTTCAACTCCACGTAAGGAATGGAGAATTCATGTCCTTTCCACGGCTCCCAGTTCACTCCCTACATTAAAAAAAAAAAAAAAAAAAAAAGCCACATCAAGAAAAGGTTCTTGGGAGGAGGGCAGGTTGGGTTATGGTACAAAGGAATTATTTAGTTTTGGTTTTTGTTTGTTTGTTTGTTTTTGAGACAGTCTTGCTCTGTCGCCAGGCTGGAGTGCAATGGCGCGATCTTGGCTCACTGCAACCTCCACCTCCCGGGTTTAAGCAATTCTCCTGCCTCAGCCTCCTGAGTAGCTGGGACTACAGACGTGCGCCACCATGCCCAGCTAATTTTTTTATTTTTAGTAGAGATGGGGTTTCACCATGTTGGCCAGGATGGTCTCGATCTCTTGACCTTGTGATCTACCTGCCTTGGCCTCCCAAAGCTCTGGGATTACAGGCGTGAGCCACCGCGCCCAGCCACAAAGGAATTATTTACCAGTGAAACCACGTCCTCTCTGCTTAGGGGAGAGAAAGGGACAGGTGGTGATGAGAAGGGAGGGGAGGGCAGGATCGGACACACGTGCCCTCTGCTGGGCAGCTGGGGTTAGACGGACTGAGGACTTGGAAGCCGGTGGTCTCCACGGTGGGAGTGTGGGGTTGTGAGCCCAGGAAGTGGGTGAGGCGAGAGCAGCCACCGAGACAACATAGGGGTCAACCGGGCAGGCAATGAGCAAATCTTCTTTGCTTCATTCTTTTCCTTTCCAAAAAATTAAAGCAAAAATAAACATATTAATTGGCCAATTGTGTAAAATCATTTTCAATTTAGACTGTTTGGATATTAGCTCTGGGGTAACAAATAGTCCACTGAAAACTAAATTTCGTTTTATGACTTTTGACTGGTGAACGCAATAATATTTAATTCACTTAATAACCTTGCAACCTGGCCAATAAAAGCCCAAGTGACCAATTTTATGTATTTTAATTTGTGAGGTAAATAATAAACAAGAAGCTAAATGCCTTGCAGACTGTGAAAAGCGCATTAACCAGATGAATGTCTTTTATTAGCGAACGTGGGATGGTTCGGGGCATGCTGGCTGCACATTTCCAGTATCTGATCTCCTATCCCAGGCTTTCCTGAGTCGGCCCACATGCTGCCACCGTGATTCATGCACCCACCCTCCCCGCTTCCCTGGAGGAAAATTTCTTCTTCCCTTTGAAAAATCACATAAGTCCCCGCAGCCTGGTCAGGGCCAAAGTAATCAAAATGTACCTGGACTTTGGATGTGCTAATATTTACAGTAATATAGGTACAAGGTGAGTTCTGAAGAGGAGGCTTCTTGGAGGCTTAGGATCAGGGCTGTGGATGGGAAATTAGAAACCTAGGATGGGGACTCAGGGTTTGTGGAGGGGAGAGGATTAATGATGAGCAGAGGCAAAGATGCGATTTTCAAGAAACCGTGAGGGAGCAGGCAGAAAGTGCCCCGCAGCTGTCAAAGAGTCAGGATGATGTGCAAGGGCGGTGGAGGCTTGAGAAAGAGCAGATGGGACAGTTTCAGAGCAACGTGGGGAGAGGAGCCCTCCTGGACCCCTGGCCCTGGGCACACACTCCCAACGTGGTCTAGGGCAACGTTCTGGGCAGGCTTTGAGCAAAGGAGATCCAAGAGTAGATCTGACCTAAGGCAAAAAAGACCATTTTCCTGCTGATCAAAGGACTTGAGACAAATTCCTTTTTTTTTTGGGACAGGGTCTTGCTCCGCCACCCAGGCTGGAACGCAGTGGCATCATCATGGTTCACTGCAGTTTCAACCTCCCAGGCTCAAGCGATCTTCCCGCCTCAGCCTCCCTAGAGGCTAGAGCTAAGTACACATCATGATCCCCAGCTACTTTTTGTATTAATTTTTGCATTAGCCTAGAATCATGGTGAGACAGGGTTTCACAATGTTACCCAGGCTGGTCTCAAATTCCTGGGCTCAAGCAATCAGCCCAACTAAGTCACCCAGAGTGCTGGGATTACAGGCATGAGCCACCATGCTTGGCTTCAAGAAATAGCTCTCAGTTCAACTAGGAGAACAACTAGAAAAAAGTAGCAAGTGTTTGCTATAAATGGAAAGTTTGTGTCTCTTCAAACTTCATGTGGTGAAGGCCTAACCACCCCCCACCAACATGATGGTATATAGAGGGGGCCTCTGGGAGGGAATTAGGTTTACATGAGGCCATGAGGTGGAGCCCCCATGATGGGACACATGTCCCTATATAAAGAAGAGACCAGAACTCCTTTCTGTCCACCATATGAGGATGCCCAGCCACAGTCAGCCATCCACAAGCCAGCAAGAGAGTCCCCACCAAGAACCAAATCTGCCAGCACCCTGATCTTGGACTTCCCAGCCCCAAGAACTATGAGAAATAAAAGCCTGTTCTTTAGGCCACCCGGTCTCTGGTATTTCGTTACAGCAGCCCCAGCTGGCAGCGTCCACGTGTGAACTAGTGAAATGACA